TGGAGTGAATACTAAGGAGGCTGGCTGACACCTCCAATACCGCTCTTTACAGCAGCTCCACTGCATACGTTTAGGCTACTGTATGTAAACACTGGCAGTCTTAGGTGCCACAAACACCCACTCAAATTCTTACAGACTCTTAAGTTTGGATAAAATCCAATGACTAAAAACTGCTGGTATTATGGAACATATGGTAGCTCTTAAAGACACAGAAGATTTCACAACTGCAAGCAAGATCTGACACATCCAGCAGAGAAAATAATGGACTTTACTGATGTGGAACAAGCATTTTTTTTTTAAGTGCAAAGGAACCGACAGGTTAGAAGAAGAATTTTAGCCTCTGGCTCCTTGGACAAACCACGCACGCATGCGTTACGTCTGCAGGAAATGGACTGAGTACAGAAAATATTAGTTTTTGAAAATGTGACACTAGCAGCTGGAACAATAGTTGTTATTAATATAGTTGTGCTTGCAAGTTCTTCCGTCAACATTTGTGTGTGTGTGTGTGTTTGTGTGTCAGCAAAAGAGCTGAGATAGTGTTTCCTCATTAGTTGTGTTGGTATCAATAATTCAGAGCCGGTCCTTGTTGTTGTTCAATGGGCCGAGAGCTAATGTGCTGTCGGGCCAACAGGGGCCCAGGGCCCAGCACCACTTTAATGGATGTCATGATGAGAGGGTGAAATTGGAGCGTGGAGATCCTGTATCGTCCAAAGACAAGAAGAAGAAGAAGAAGAAGAAGAAGAAGAAGGGAGGGCAAAGCAGACGGCAGGAGAGGGGGACAGGGGTAAGAAGCTCAGGGATAAGGTGAAGGCCACTGGGGAGAGGACAGATGGTATTATTGGACTGGTATGTTTGGAGAAAGGTGATGTAGAGAAACACTGTGTAAAGAGAGCAAGAAGGGAGGAAGCTGCTCTCCTACGATTGGTTCCTCTGTTTGTTCATAGAGCCTTCTAAAGCTAATCGCTGTCACCTCTCGATGAGAGAGACACTTGTGCCACCAGGGAGCTGTTATAATGAGTGATAATAATGAATAATGAACTGACATCATTTCACCTCCCATCCACTTGTGTTTCTAGAGGTGTTTCACTCACTAATGTTGCTTCATAATCAGTGGAGGAAATAACAAGTGTGGTCATATTTAATTTGCATGTCTATAGTTACGAAAATAATGTTTCCGCGAACGATGTGATCCGATTACAGAAACGAATCGTACAGGAGGGGAATTTCCTGAAAATGAGCTCCGTGTATATAAACAGACACAATGTTGCATTCTGCTGAAACATCTGTTCGCTACACAAGCAATTAATCATAATGATTTAATTGGCAGGGTATTAACTGCTTTGTTTTTCAACTTTAAAGGGCCTAGTCATTTTAGCAAGCATTTAAAGGGATTTGTTTGCATTCAAATGTGTCCCTGAGACTGTCAGATTTCCCAAGTTTGAAAGTTGTGCTTTACTGCGACAAACCTTTAGGTCACACTACATAGAGTATTGCAAGAAAGTGTCAAATGTAAGTGTAAAAACTGCATCTGTACCTTCAATGATTAAAAAAATAATTATCATTATTTCTGATTTTATTTCAAAAGTTATAAAATCAAAATGACTTTCACGCATAGGTCAAAGGGAACTAAAAGGTCGTACTCCCGCCTTTTGTACTAACTAATCATTTATAATAAGGTAATGCAAAAATAATAATAACACATATGTTATGTGTCGTATGTTGAATTTTGTATAATTTACCCCATAGGTCAGTGCAATAG